ACCTTATAAATTCCTAAAGAAAAATATTCAATTTTTAAATTCAAGCAATTCTTTTGAACTTTTTTTTAAAAAAAATTTATTATTTTTAAGATTTTAAAATTATACTTATGTTTCTTGGTTAACGTAGAAGCAAAACTATCTAAGATTTTTGAAACTAATAGACAACAAATTAAATAACTCAAAATGGAAGCAAAGACAGAAAAGTAGCAACTTTTTACATTGAATAAATAAAGCTAGTGTAAAATTTCCTAATTAGATTTACCATTTGGTTGATATTATGTTTATCCTCTATTTAACTTTATTAATAACTAGTCTATTTAAAAATAATTTAAAATTGGTTGTAATGAGACTTTTGTATAAGTGTTCAAAAATGCAGTTAAATGTGGTGGAAATTCATATTACATAAATCTGAGATAAGATAAAGATTATAATAAATCTAATAAATTAAAAAACATAATGGCATTTCCTGTAAGTAAAGCCAAACTTGATACACTAGCCATTGAATAATACATCATAGCATCGTTTAGTTTAGAAACTGAAGCTAATTATTCTTTAGTAGCTTATTAGAGCACAAAAGGAGTAGAAAGATTAAAAATATGTTAATATTCTTTTAAACCAATTTAAAATTAATTATAAATTGTATCTTTCTAAATATCAACTTAAAGAACAGGATTTTAGATTGGTTCTATAAATTCGATTTCAATTTCAAATTTAGGATTATTTAGATTGATAGTAATATTTGAAATGATTTTAATAGACAATTTATATTGTGTTTGAGGAAGAATACTAAATAGCATAAATTCTTCAAGTTTTAAATCTTCATTTAATTTAACTTCTTAAGTAAAAGTTAATTCTACAATTTAAATAGAGTTGGCTTTATTTGATAAAATATTCAAGCTTAATTCAGGAGCTTAGATATAAGTGCATTGACTTAATGATCCATTTTAATTTAAACATTAGTATTTATCCTCTATTTGACAAAAAGCTGAACATCCATCTCCTCCAACATTGTTACCGTCATCACATGCTTCACTTTAACTACTTAGCAGTCCATTTCCACATTAATTTACACATATATAATCAAATAGTAAGTAATTATCTCCACATCTTAATTAAGTAAATTATTATAACTATAAGGTTAACATATCTATTTCTTAATCATTATCAACATGGTTAATTTAAGTACATTTTAATTTTAAACATCAAATTAATATTAATTTTCATCACATTTTAAGCATTAGTTTTCCTAACACTCAATACAACCAATTTAACATTAAAATTAGCATTCAAAACAACCATCAAATGGAATTATATTTCCGTCATCACATTCCTCAAAACCTTCAATAACATATCCATCCCCACAAATAGGAATACAATAATTATTAAATAATTACCATCCTTTAATTGAACAATCATAGCATAATCC